TTTTTTTTTTTCCTCTTCGCCTATTCGAGCAACTATTCAGACTCAACGTTGTGAACCCGCCGATGATCTGCCGCACTCTGCAAGCGCAGTTGCGCATCCTTACTCCCTTGAGCTTCTTTCCCCAAGTCTGGAGAGCGCCACAGTCGATCTCCATTTTTTTCTGATTCATTTGCTCTTTGCAAATGAGTTGAGGAGTCGAAGGTCTTTCCGCGCGGTTCTGGAGAAGCGAGTGAGCCGCTTCTGCACTCGCTTCTGCTTCAGCACCTGCGTGAGGGGGAGTAAGCTTTCGGCGGTTTTTGCATCGCTACATCCGAGTGGTCGACTGAGCTTAGGCTTAGTTGGAGCGCGGTGCGCAGTCGGTAAGAATCGGCGCATGCGACCGATGCAACTATTGGCTCTCGTGGAGTCAAGCCGGCGTGCTCTCGCCAGATTCGCCGGACTGGACAAGCGCTGCCTGGAGATGTCATTGGATCGACTAGCGGATCCCACCGAAGTGTGGCCGGTGCTCGAATCGTGTGGCCAATGCAGGGTCGGCACACCTCGACAAGCGCGGGTACGCAACGGCAATGCGCCTAGCGGAATCCCAAAACAAAATTCGCCGCACTCGGAGAATTTTGCTTTGCGACCTGCATGAAGATCTGCCGCGTTCGAAGCTCACGTCACTCTGCTTGGCCATCGAACCGTAGCTCCTCTGCGCCGTCTTGGCACGCAGAAGATGGACGAGCCAAATCAAAAGATCACGCTTTGGATTCCAGACCTGCGCATCTTTGTTCGATCTTCTCCTCCGGGGGATTCTACTGCAGACCGAGTTCCGCAGCCCATTTCGCTGGACGTCATATGGTGGATGGGTAACCATCCGATCCTACAGACTCGCCTGCAAGCCATAGACAGGCGTGCCTCAGGGTGGGCCGAGTCAAGCATCAACGCCCGACGGACGGATGATTTGGTGCGTGGCTCGTCTGCGCTGGACCCTGCAGGGGCAGCCGAAGAAAGAAAGAAAAAACGACCGAGATTTCGCCACTGGCTTGCATCGGTCGAACTTGGCCATCCTGACATCATGCATCGGCGCTCCCGAATACTCGCGCTCATCCTCAATAGGTTTAGGCTCCGGGCAGGCCAAAATTTCGAGGGTCCTTGCGTGAGCATAAGCACTGGCTGGTCGTGAACGTCCGGACTGCGAGTCCCGAGTGCGTGCACGGAGTGGCACGGGTTCTCGGCTGGCAACAGACCCTTGCACGCCATCCTTTGCGAATCGTCCCGCGTGGTTGGCAGAACATTCGTTCAGCCAGCTTCTTGCCGTAGCGTGGCCCGGATATCAAGGGCGAGCGATGATCTCTGGACCGTCTCGTGCGGGTCCAGGACAAAGCAAGGGTCGTCTTTGCGGCGAGCACCAGACATTGAAGATGGCTCACTTGCATGTACCGCGGCAATCACACCTTGTGGTGACCAGAATGAGAGCATGTCGGTGCGAGCTCGGTGTGCGCAGAGTCGGCACGCCAAGCGCAAGCGCAGCTTGAAGATAAGCACCCGTGACTCGTCGTCTAGCTTTGAGGTGGACGAGAATTTTGAAATTTGTTAGACTGCTTCTCTGACAGTGTTACGGCCGAGAATGGTCGCCTGCATCGCATCATGCTGCATCGAGCGGGTCTAGAGTGGCGAGGAAAATGCGGGGTAAGCTGCAGGCACCTGCAGCAGCATTAGGCAAAAGCGAGGCAGCGATAGCTTGGCCACAAGACGCGTTTGGCGGCCTAGCGCGAGTGTGGCCGAGCCGCACTGTCCAGCTGACTCTGCGTGTCTCCTCTCTCTATCGCGCTTTTGGCAAGCTGCGAACGTGCCTCGATTGCGAGCCTCTGCCTCTGTCGAACGCCGTTTGGCATTTGCCGCAGCAGGGCCCCGTGCAACGTGCGCATGGATCGAAGCACTCAGCCCTTGACCCCCTGATGTCGAGGCACGTTGGGCGTCGCGATGGACGCGAAAAGCGTTGGTGAGCGCTCCAGACACGCCTCACTCTGTGCATTCAAGCGTCGGATCATCATGGCAGCACAGCGACGTGAGGACTTGAACGGCAGCCAGAGCTGAAGCGGTGTGCTGCACTCGAGCCTGAGCAGACGCCTGAGCGTGCTGAGCTGGTGCGCTTCGTTGGAGGATTTTTCCCCTCGCTTTTTGTGGGGAAGTGCAGGCGGGGCTGCAGAGCTGCATTTGGCTTTGCATTTACGAGCGGTGCGACTGGCCGGCCACACTCGAGCTGAGGCCCCACACTGGCTCGAAGCGGTCAGAGCAGACTGGGCAGCTGCCCAATCCGCAAAGCGCTGCAACCGCGCACCGCTCTATCTCAACCGGGACTGAGTGACTGCTGCATATCTACACCACAAGCTCTCACCTTCCTCGCCATCACTCTCGGTATCACCAAGCCATCGATACAAGAACCATCACTGCACAACGCTCGACCGCTCTCTGCCTCCATCCATCCATCGTTGGAAGATTCAGCGACAGCTGGATCCAACTTCAACCTTGCTAGGTGTCGAATCATCCAAGCTCCCCGCTCAGCCTCGTTCTCGTTGCCCCAGATGAGTGCGCTACCGCTCGCTCGCTGTGAATCGGCGGGCGCCTCGCTCGGTTCGACGCCCAATACGCTTTCGAGCCCGGTGTCGTCTGACCCCTCCTCGGTGCCTAGTCACGCCCGTCCGGAGCTTCCCAACGAACTGCTGCGCCACATCTTCCTCTACTGCGACCCGGCCACGCTGTACACCACGGTGCGCGCGCTCAACACCTCGTGGAAGCACGCCGTGGAGAACGAGCTGATCGCCACGCACTTTGCCAACCGCGATTGGCGCGTCGGTCTGCGCGTCACCCGCAAGCTGCCCAGCACGCTCTCCGAGGCCGACGTCGACGAGGCGCAGCATCAGCAGGCGGACGAGGATCTGTTCAGACTCAACGTGCTTCAGCGCCCCGGTGCGCGCGAGCCCTACAACGTCAACGCACAGCCGCGCACCGTCACCCACGTCATCCCGCTCACTTTCAAGGGATACGACCCCGACAATGTATCGCTGCGCTTCGATACCGACTCGACGTGGCACTCGCTCTTCCAGGTCTCCCCACCCGATTCGGACGATGAGCGCGAAGCCAATGCGCAGAACAACGCTGCAGCCGCCAACGATGATGACGACGATGACGACGATAGCAGCGACGACGATTCGGACGATCAAGCCGAAGCTCAGGCTGAGCAGACGCAAGTGGCCGCACCGGCAGCCGGCCGCAGAACGACGCGCCAGGAGGATTTTGGAGCCGCTGCGGCCCGAGCCAGAGCGCGCGCCGAGTCGGCTCGTCTGGAGCTCGACTTTGGCCTCGTGTGGCGATTCCCCGACGACGGACAGGACGCCGACGTGTACCAGATCAAAAAGGGCGACGCCGAGTCGTGGGGTCTGCCCGATCCGGAGAATGGCTGGCTGAGCCGATTCTACTGCTCCAACTTTGACACGGTCAGTTCGGCGACTCCTTCAAATGCGCCTTCGGGCTCGTCTTCGCCTGCGGTGCTGCAGTCGACGCCGCTGACGCGTCGTATGAGGAGCAGCCGGCTGCACTCGTCGGTGGAGCGTCGTATGCACGATGTGGTCGACGACGATGAAGAAGGCTTCTCGCCCGCTCAGATGATCTGGAGCGACGAAGGTCACGAGTACATGTCGCTCGACCTCTCGCTTGGCATGGAGTTCTTCGTGCGCCGCTCGGCGCGGGCTAACCAGCTCGTGCGCAGGCTCGAGCAGGCGGCAGCGGCGGCCGAGGCGCGCGACGTCGTGGCCCAGCTCACGCGCAAGCTCAAAAAGGGCAAGAAGGCCAAGAGATCGGCGCTGTCAAGCCTCAATCCTTCGGCGGCTGCGTCGGTGGCCGCGTCGGGCTATGCCACACCACTCGAGGTGGCCAGTCCGCCCCCATCGCGCATGACGGCCTCCAACGATCCAAGACGACGCGCCATGCAGAATGCGCTCGGAAAGGAGGTGCAGCGTAGCACGTCCATGACCAGGGCGGCAAGTGGGAGCTCGCCATTGAAGGGCAAGGAGGTGGCACGAGGCGACGAGGCTGCCGAGGAAGAGGAGGATGGAAGCCGCACGCCAGACCAGCCTGCATCCGCACCGAGCTTCTTGGCACCCTCGATGATGGTGTCTCGCTACAACTCGGTAGCACCCTCGAGGCAGGGTGGTGGAAGTGTGGGCACGGGCTCGTCGTATGGGACCAAGTCGCGAGGCGCTGGATCGGGCAGCCGCGCTGGCGGTAGCAGTGCGCCTCGCGCCACGTTCCAGGCCAAGCTGCTGCGTGCCGAGCGCATGCCATCGAGGCCGTCCACGCCGCCACCGCCGGGCGAGGAGGAGTCGTCCGACTCGGCCACCGCCAATACTACGCCGTCCGATCGCGCGGGATGGACGGGCGGAGACAAGTTTGGCCGTGGCGCATACAGGCTCGCGCAAGAGTGGTCCGAGGAACTCGAGTCGGACAAGTTCCAGGACGCCCTGTCCAACAGCGGCGTTACCACCCCCGTCACCTGGACGTGGTCCAGGTAGTGCCAAGTTGCCGGCGACCTCGCCCATGTAGATCTCGGAATAGTGGCACTGCTTGCTGCTTGGTTTCATGTACACACATTTTCTATACAGAATAAAGCTCAACGTTTCCCGGCGACTCGTGATGAACCACCGGCCAAGTGTATCTGTGACGCAGGCAAAGCTGGTGCACTGGGAACTGACGGTTGAATTGAAGCTCGGATGATTGAAGGAAGAAGGAGGAGACTTGAGGCGAGAATGACCGGCGAGGGAAGAAGTGTTGAGCCGGCGGCAAAGGCGAGGCAGTGGGCGAGTCGATCACGGCTGCGCTGGCTGCGCCGGCTGGGCGAGGGCAGTGGAGCAGTGAAGCGGCTGAGGGGGGCCATGCGCGGTGACAGCACGGCCTGAGGCGAGGGCGATGACGACAAGGCAGTGAGTGCAGCGATAACAACGCGCTGAGCCCGAGGTGAGTCCAAAAAAGACACGCTCGGCTGCCAGCACACGCCGACTCGAACCGCAACTTGGCCCGAGCCGAAATCGATTCTTTTTGGCACCCGAGACTGGGCGCTTGTGCCGCGCGAGAAAAGGGCGGAGAGCAACACCTGCGTAGCCCGCACGGCCTCGCAATTGGAGCCAGCCGCAGAGAGGATGTGTGGAGCGCAAAGAGTCCATGGCCCACACACACTACCAAAGCTGCATAGACGCGATCGCCATCTTCTCAACCCGCCACCATTCTTTTACACCACAACCCGCATCCCACTCAGTGAGTAGCTCCCCAGCGTTATCGCTCAAGGATGCTGCGAGGGCGTCCAGTCACCACCCGCATTGGCATCTGCAAGCAAAAGTGCCGTATGGCAAAAGAGACTGATCGTATCGACTTTGCTTTTGGTTTGGTATGCAGACCTAACGCAATCATGGCTGACCAGCTGACCGAGGACCAGATCGCCGAGTTCAAGGAGGCCTTTTCTCTGTTCGACAAGGACGGCGATGGCACGATCACCACCAAGGAGCTTGGTACGGTGATGCGCTCGCTGGGGCAGAACCCGACCGAGGCGGAGCTGCAGGACATGGTGAACGAGGTCGACGCCGACGGTAACGGTACCATCGACTTTCCCGAATTCCTCACCATGATGGCACGCAAGATGAAGGACACCGACTCGGAAGAAGAGATCAAGGAGGCCTTCAAGGTGTTTGACAAGGACGGCAACGGATTCATCAGCGCAGCTGAACTCCGACACGTGTACGTTGTATCCCCCTCTAGACCCAAGGAAGGCCGTTTGCTGACACTGTTTTGCGAGCAGGATGACCAACTTGGGCGAGAAGCTTTCGGACAACGAGGTGGACGAGATGATCCGTGAGGCAGACGTCGACGGTGACGGCCAGATCAACTACGAGGAGTTTGTCAACGTGCGTTCATCCACCAAACACCCCCCCCCCTTCCTTCTTTTTTTGCTGACGTAGATGCGATAACTGACCTCTGTTGGTGTTTGACAACAGATGATGCTGAGCAAGTAAACACTGCGCGAGAATCACATCGCACCGTTGTATCTTTGCGCGCTCGATTCCGTCCGCACAACGAAAAAGAAAGAGATGACTCTATGCCGCCACTTTCACAAGGGTTGTGCGCATGCGGAAAGCGTGGAGTGTGGGATTGGTAAAAGTACACATGTTGCGACGTATGATTGGCGCGGATCTAAAGTGGAAGAGGAATGGTGTGAGAGGATACAGTTACAAAACAAGCTCGATGCTAGGGATATAGGGGAGGTGATTAGGGTTCGGTGTTTGTGGCTAGGCGGAGAGTGAGCTCGTAGATGCTGAACATGACTACTGCATTCGGCACAACACGCAACAGATGTGCGCTGAGACCGCCGTAGAGTGCAGCAAGACCTTCTTCTCTGTAGACCAGCTTGACGGTCTGTGCAAGGCCGGTGTACTTTGGCTTCTGCCCAGGCTCGGCTTGTTGTCGCAAGCGCGTGCGCACCACTTCGTGCGGATATGTGATGAGGCTCGCGACGAGCTTGGCTACACCTGCCGCCCCCACCATGCTCGACAGCTTGGCGCCGACGCCCTCGTTTGCGGCGGTGTCCGTATTGGATGTGCCCATCTTTTTGAGGCGCTCGTATAGCACCCACTGGATCGTTCCTTCCGCAACACCGAGGTAGCTGGCACTCATACCCTTGTACAGGCCTTTGAGACCTTCGTTGCGCACAATGTGCAGCGTCATCTGCATCGAGTTCATGCTCGACCCGCTCGACGCCTTGGCCGCATGGAAGAAGGCGGGCTCGCCAAACGCGCCCAGCGCCTTCTTGCTGTGCACCGCCGCAAAGGTGGAGAAGCGTGCGACGCCTGCACCTGCCGCACGTGCTGGTGCGACCTTGTGTGCTGCTGCCTGGGTCGTTGATGGGAAGGCGGCCTTGTCGTTGCGACGCGAGTCGAGTTGGAGGCGCGTCTTGACAACCCAGATGGGGTTGGTGGCGGTCGCCGTTACGACACCTGCCAGTGCTGCGGCGGAGAGGTGGACGAGCGAGGTCTCTTTGCCGCCGTTGAAGCGCTCGGCGATGAGCGTCTTGCCGTTGCCGTACGTATAAAAGTTGATGGAGCGGGCGGGGATGACGCCGACGAGCGTGGGCCCAAGGCCGCGGAAGAGCGCACGTGGACCTTCGGTGGTGCTGATCTCCTTGAGCAGCTGTCCCGTCTCTACAAAGTGGTACGCCAGCGTCCGCAAGTTCTGAAGCACGCCGGCGGATTGTGTCGAGACTGCGTGTTTGTGCGAGCGTTGTCGGTACAGGTCGGACTGGAGGCGGGTTTTGACGACGTCGAGCGGCGAAGTGATGATGGCCCCGCACATGCCGCCTGCTCCACCGGCGACAAAGTGGAGCCATCCCTTGGGCGGCACCACCTTTTTCGGCCGTGGTGGCTCGGATTCTGCGGATGTGGATGCGAACGATGAGGAGGAGGAGGAGGAGGCGGCGGCGGCG